ATGCTCTTTTTCGGATGGCAGGGAGCGGTTTTCCCCAGGGTTGGCTCCTAGGTGAGCAGGAACTCTGAAGCGCCCCTTTGTCCTCATGGAATCCATACATGTGTGACTCAGTGACAGATCTCCTGTTACTGTGGCTTTTCATGTTCCACAATAGTTGGAATTGAGCAGCCCCTCAGGGTCTGACAAGAAGTCGACTGTAACAGCCGCGGCGGCAAGTCTTGAGCCGTCAGGCATAGGCGCACTGTACAGAACCGTTGCGAGGTTTACGGACTTGCGCGCAACTCTTGCCAGCTAGCACCTACTCAGCTAGGTCAAGATGCAAGACTGAATCCAGCTAAAGGTACAGAGAAGCATTCAAAACTCTTGAACTCGGTTTCAACCCAAAACCCATCACCCTAGCGACTCAAGCTAAAAAGACTGCGCACCCCAAACCCGAAAGCCACTAACCCTCAGCAGGTCCTCATCCTGCGGAGCAGCAAGGGCGAGGAGAGCCATGTGAGTAGTATTTTATTTGGGGATATTATGGTACCCATTATAGAGTAAGATTATATCCTCCTTTTGGGGTATATTATTTTATATAAGGAATATAACCTTACTGGGCTGAACCACCAAAAAACACTACTTGTGTGCCATTCTTTCTGTTATCTAAGGTTAGATGACACTGTCTGTTGTGTGTACATGGCACACACTTGTGTAACGTTTTGCGGCAGGGTCGTCAGGTTTCCTAGGAATGAAATAGAAGTGAAACAGTGTGCAACCAGCTTGATACTGCTCCCGCACCAGGTGAACCAGCTTGTTCATGACCATGACTCAATCCACTTCTGAATCGCGACTTTTTTGTAGTGCCTTGGTATTTAGGGCTTAGGGTTGTTGAGGCGAAACCTACAGTCAGGTCCAAAACAAGCCCTAAACCCTTAACCTTATTTCCTAAACCCTGAGCCCTAAGCCGCGTAATTGGCAGCTATTTGGCTCCCGGCTCTGAGGTTCTAGGGTTTAGGGCTCTCCTCCGGCGAAGGAATCGGGTTTAGGATTTCGGGTTTAGAGGATTCAGGGTTCAGGGTTTAGGATCTGAACCCCTCACAATCCTCAGTAAACGGGATTTAGGGTCTAGGGTATCACACCCTTACAAAGCCTAAACGTACTGGTGCTCAAGGGGGCATGCGGGAGTCAATACAGGTACCATCATAAGGGTATATGTGGATTATACAGGATTATCATAGGGATCCATTCCCCCCTTCGGCACTAGTCAACCCCAAGCAGCATGGTTGGCGTCATTGCATTAATTGTCAATTCCTTGTGAGTCAGCATGGTTTCATCTGAGTAGTATGTTAGATGGGGATACTATACTGCCCAACGAAGAGGGAGCATACGTTGCCAGCTTGCTTGTAGTGATTTAGGGCTTTAGGGGTTCAGGGTTTTACGTGGGGCTTTCAGTTTAGGGTGTAGAGTTGTTAAGAACCGCTGATAGCCCCCAGTGTGACCACAGAAAGGATGCAGTTTTGCTTGGGCCTTTCACCCTGAACCTGAAACAGCATAAATGGATGCAGGTACGGGGAGAACTTGATGTACGAGTATACCTCGACCCAACCCTGCATGTCATAGTCCTAGACCCTCCAACTGCCCTCTGTTCAGGCCTAAGCGCCCATTACTTGGGGCCAGATATAGCCCCAACTACCCCAACTAAGGATACTAGGAGGGTCCTGGGTTGCCAAACCCTAAACCCTAAACCCTCAAGTCAGGAGAGCAGGGATGCATCTTCATATCGGGTAGCTGGCCTGGATTTGCTCCACTGTCAGCATCGTGTGCGAACTGTCAGCATGGTGTGCGAACTTAGTAATAATAATAGTAATAATGATAGTAGTAGCAAAAGTAATAACAATAGCAATAATTATAATAATAATAGTAATAGTAATAGTAATAGTAATAGTAATAGTAATAATAAGAGAGCTACACCCATCTGAGGTGTGCAAAGGTGGAGGGTTCCCAGAATAGAGGTACCTTTGTGACCCAGGGGCATGGAGGGACTGTGAGAAGATGATCGGACGGTCCTTTCTGGGGACGGAGGAGGAATTTTCTCGAGAAATTAAAATGTCTGCAGGGTTTAGGGTTTAGGGCTTTACAAGCAGAAGCTGCTCTTCAGCGACTTTAAGGAACCAGAGGACAGCTACATGCAGCCCGCAGAGGTAAACTTGTGCTGCAAGTGGGGCGTACAAATCAGTCCTTGCGGGCTCATATGTGTGGCCACAATGAGTTGCATTACATCACAAAGCAGGATGGTGAGTCGTGAGGCTCCGTCTTGATGAATATGAGGCTTCGTTCGACAAACTTGTTCGAGCTGACTTGCAAAGGGGGCATCATAAGCAAGACCACTTTCGGTATATGAGCTGTAGGCTTCAAGCAAACCGTGAAGTTAACACATCCTTTGTATCCGCTCCTTTTTAAGTTGCAGATGGCATTGTGTGCGGGCTGATGCACATGTTTTCGCTTGTCGTGTCTTCTAGTTACTCACAGGGTCCAACATGCCTGTATGTATAGCATGAATAGATGCATAGCCAAAACTACTTTCCTGGGCTTCATGCAGGTACACGTTGCTGTGTTTTAGTTCCTACTAAGTTCCTTAAGTTCTCATCCCAGAAGGGATCTGCTCATGGACTCTAGCCTCTGAACTCTCAACGTACAGCCGTGTAGCTAACTCCAAGGCTTGAACGTTACGCCTTTGATTGAAGTCCTGACCCCGCAGCGCTGCGGTCCACAAAGCAATATTGAATCACCAAAGGGGGCTGGGCTTCATGGGTTCCATGTTGCTTGGGGGGGGGGTACTTCCCAAACTAGCGTGGAGTATTGGTTAGGAGGACCCCCCACCATGTAATAGTGGTATAATAGCAATACAATATAAGAGGACCCTAATATAATCCCTATTATCCCCTATAGTCACTATTACTGGGTGGGGGGTCCACCTAAAGTCTTGGTCTTGTATGGGCCCTCAGCGACTTACGGCTATAGATCTAAGCCTGGAAGCGAAAAACCCGCGAATCCGAAGCATTTGAGCGTCTTCGCACCCCTGCAGCCTTCCATTATGGGCTATTAGACCCTAAAATTCCCCATTAGGACCCCATTAAGGGGAGATTAAGGTACCCTTAAGGTCTAATAGCCCATAGTGGTTCCCTAGTCCATGAACCTCACACCCTCATCCCAAAACCCCAAACCTTAAGCCCAAAACCCAATGCACCAAACCCTAGACTCTAGACCCTAAACTCTCATCCTTAAACTAAAGCCCGATCATCTGAACGTTGCTTGAGGCTGGAGTTCGAGTGGAAGTAGCTGATCGAGGAAGGCTTGCCGGCATGGGAGCTATGACCTACTTAGGGTTTGGGGTATTAAGGGTTTAGTGCGTTTGGGGTTTGGGGTTTAGGGTTTAGGATATTTAGGGTTTAGGGTTTAGGGAATGGAAGAGAAATCGGACGCTAGCTTCAAGAAATAGAATTATATGTTTAGGGCCACTACAGGGTGTCAAAATTATAGAGCTTTTTGCCTTTGGAATGTTGAGCGGTTTTACCTGATTGATCTTGCACGGCCCCTCCATATTGAGATCATTCAAAATGGTTCTAGAGGCTATTACTCGTAGCAAGAATTCCCTCAAGCTTAGAGCCTATCCCTAAACCTATACCCCAGCACCCTAAACCCAAAGCCTAAACCCTGAATTCGAAATTTTTGCATGAACCTAAACCTTGAACAGTAAATCGCGAACCATAGATGTTGCATCCTCAACCTTAAGCCCTAGAGCTTGAACACCTAACCTTACACCCCACACCCGCGTTCGTAAAAAAAACATCCAACCCCATACCCTAAGCCCTTTAGCCCAAAATCCTTAACCTCAAATCTTACACCCTCAACCGTAAGCTTTGCACTTGAGCCAAAAACTGTAAACCTTGAGCCCCAAACCGTAAGGGGCCAATTGTGGTGGTAGCAGGCTGGCACGACGGGAGCCTCCCCAACGACCTACAACCACAAATATGTGTTAAGTGGACCCCTTACTGGGGCTTAGTAGGGACTAGGGGCATGTATTATATAGGGATCATATAGGTAGTAATTATCATTCTTAATTCCCTACTAACCCTCAGTAAGTTGACAGCAGCATCTAGTGTGCAGTGTAATTAAGCTTGTTCGATGCTCTGTGTTTTTTGGCATTGCGAAACCTCTCCAATGTTTACCTGGGCAGGGAGTACACATTAATCCGTAAAAGATGTAAAGCCTCACCTGAAGCAACAGAACAAGCCTCAACAAGCATCACATACAGGGCACATATTGTGCCTGGAGGAAATCTTGTGCCACCTTTTATGGCCCTATAACCGGACCTTGAAGCACCATCATCATCTTAGTCATAAGAACCGCTGAGCTATACACACAGCCTTCTCAGACTCGAACTTTGAAGTGTCATTCCTAGGTACCTTAACCCCAAACGTAACCTCTGCACCCATAAACAGGACAAGAGACATTTGTTGCTTAGATGTTTGTGTCTTGTTTGTTGTTTAGGGCTCTAGCCGTGCCCCTGTTCCAAAACGCCTGGGCTGTGTTTGAAGGCTTATTCAGGGACTGTTGAGACACCCCCCCAGCTGGGTTGCTAAAATGGAACTTAAGCTGAGTTATATACCATGATGGGTGTGTATATATGTATAGATCTAGTAATTGATAGGTTTCCCCCAATATAGTAGTTGAAATTGAACCCCAATCTCCACACCTTCGAGATGGCACGAAGCCACGGTGGCCGAAAAGGGCCCCGAGGAGGACTGTGATGGATTTTCTGGGTTTAAGGTCTAGGGTTTAGGGTTCCCCTACCACCCCCCTCTATACTACACTTCCTAGCTTCCCCCCTTAACTAAGTTTATCTCGGGATAATTAAGCCTAAGTAAGGTTACTTGAGGGGTGACCTGCAAGGGGAATAGCTTGTAACCCAGAGGCTCCAAGTACCCAATAAGTAGGTCTCGTTTAAAGGGGATATTTGGACCCTACAAAGACGATTGTCCTTCTTAGAGTAGGCTATGTCGGGTTCCATGTCGATTTGGGCAAGGTGCTATTGAGCAGTATTTTATTTGGGTATACTATGGTACCCAATATAGAGTAAGATTATATCCTCCTTTTGGTTATAGTATTTTATATAAGGAATATGATCTCACTAGGTTCAACTACCAATAAAACATTACTCTATTGTGGGAATTTCCTCTGCATTCGCAGGGCACGGATTCCTATCAGGTATTCTGCATTGGGCCAAAAAGACCACTTCTTTCTTCCTGGGGGTAAGGGTCCAAGTAGCTAATAATCATATACTTACCCAGAAACCCTCTACTTTAAGTATTCAAGTGTTACACAACCTCAAGTTTCTGACTATACGGTACTCGGGCCCAAAACAAACACCCTAAACCCCAACCCTAGATACCACTACATATCCCTTGAAACGCATAGAATTATTGGGCAGAGTTGAAGCCCAAGTTCGAACTTTTTCCAGCATCCTGGTGATCAACTGCAAGATTTGTGGTCGCTTCCACAGAAGACCCAATGTCCACGTTGGGGCTCCTGGGTCCTGCTATATTAAGGGTTTAGGGCTTTAGAATTAAGCCAACACATTCCTAAGCCCTACATGCAGGGTTCTAAGCAGGGTTGTGCGTGAGCTATAAAAGGGGTTACGTTTAGCAACACGTTTGATAAGGTACGGGACTTAAAAGGATACAAATATGACCATCGGGTCCGACCCGGTTCTTGAACAGCAGGGCGCAGGGCTTCGGTAATACCAACTCTCCAAATTTGGACCCTTTGAATCATATGAGCTAGAGCCTAGACTCCTTAAAGGGGGCCATCTAAGGTATTCTAGAGGGGAGTGTTATAGAGGTTATTAAAGGGGATACTAGGAGTTTAGATTAATGCTCATCTGATTACAATGCGGTCCCATTTTGGAGGGTTGGGAGACCCTAAACCCTAAATCGCCTCATTGTTTGTAAGAGGTTCAATCCATTAGGAGCCTCACTTCGCTGCCTAAACCCTAAACCCTAACAAGCCTGAACCCCAAAGGCTGACCC